GCATTACAATCGTCACATCCATACTACGTCAAACGGACCGTTGTTCACCACTTGGCGAATCATGTCAACAAGCTACCTTTGAAAAAGTCAATACGATCAGGTGAACTGAGTCAAACAACCAGGGTATCATGAGGTGATAAACGCTATTTAGCAGGATGATGGTGGCTCAGATAGCCTAGATGGTGAGTGGTTTGTTGGCTGAGGTGAGCTGAGCAATTTGATCGCAGACGTTTAACAACACCAGTCAAGGTAGCGTCATTTGCATTGGTAATTTTTTAGATATATTATTGTACAAAAAGCTAAGGATGGGCCATGGTCTGATGAAACTTGCATATTAAGTCCGCATCTTCCAAAAGCTCTGCGACATGAATGTACACGCATGGTAATCACATAAATTTTCAAGTAATGGACGATGGCGAACCAGTCGCCATTAGCAGAGGTATCATATATTGCTGTAATATCACGTCAGAGCTTATCCAAAAACAGTCCACTCTAACTGTGTATCAACTTCGGTAACTTAGGTTACTTTCCTCACTGAATTTATCAAGGCAAAATAAAGCTGACACACAGGATTTTTTCCGTTCCTCACCAAAACGGATTTAACTGTTATTATTGCGCCTCAAACATGGAGTTCAAAAAGAAAATTGCTACTGTTTTCCCACCTTGCTGCAGGGTTCAGCTTGCTCTGAGGCAAGCAAAACTTCCCAATTATTAAGGGATTTTTTGAGCTGCGTGATGTCGCCTGTATTTTTACGTTGATGAAAGGGTTAGGATGATTCATGGGAGGTTTCGCCGTTATCCGAGCTTTTTGTTACGTACACCTAATGCTCAATTGTTTCCCAACCGTTGCGTGGAACCTTAAATTTTTAAGTTGTTTTCCAGCTAGATTATATTAATAAATTACATAATACGCTAAAAGACCTCGAAAGACTCTGAAAGCATTATATACTCGTGCCAAGAGGGTCGNTAGTTCATCTTTTAAATCTACCTAATCCCTTAGCAGTTATGTACCGTAATTAGCGATAGCCCAGGTATTGGCATCGTGGGACCGTGTGGATTTCCACTTATTTCTACACATCCCAGCCATCTCACCAACCCTTCAGGCCCAGCTCTCTGGAAATCTTTGGACTGCATCCCCTTAACGGTACCGAGATTCAGTGAGACGCAGCTGCTTTTCAGTGTCCCAATGGCCTAATGTTCTACTGGCCCCAGAACAAACAGAAGACAGCTCTCCCTTCAGTGTTTCGTTTCTCAAAACACATGCGTTGGAGCAGGGCTAGTAGACCATCTCAGCAACTCTCCTTGGTCCCAGCTACCTCATAGAGGGTTTGCGCAACCGCTGAGAGACAATTCCTCAAGGCATAAATCCTTGTGTGCACATATACCAACAAACACGGGTATTTAAGTCCTATCTTCGATCAAAAACGGACATAAGTGCAGATATGTGTAACCTCTTTTGACAAAATGGATCCAGCTGAAGAGTTACATTGTCGTCAAAGTATAACCCAGTGTAACAACGTGAATACACTCCCTCAAAAGTTCACGAATATGGAAGGTATTTATTCTGGATCCACCGATGAAGAATGAGGTTTCCTATGGAGTTCACCCTTTCGGCCCCATGGGGCTGCGTTCAGTATCCCTTTTTCAGTTCATTGTTGTGTCCTCAACATTTGTGGTTGCTCTGTAGATAAGCTCATGATTTTTTATGAACAGTTCCTGTGGACATGAGATCGCCTAGTACAAGCGTTATACTTTATAGCCTTTGACGAGCCTAAAACTACACATCACCGACATTCGTAATGTATATAGCATACACGTCTCTTTACACGCCACTAACATCCGTCGAATAATTCACCGGCAGCTCGGACCACGCCTAAAATCTGCGGTACATTTGCGTAATGTCTGGCGGCGCCTGCAAAACGCAATCTAGAGGAAACAGAATGCTTTGTACTCTTTTGGAAGTTCTGACTCATTTCTTCAAAGGATTATAAGTCTACTGCGTAAAGTTAGTCTGTATGCTGACATCCTTTTTTTCAGATTTTTTTCCGAAAATGTGAGCAAAGGAATTTTTAGGGCGCTACTATTTCTATGGTCATTTTGTGTAAAACGGTAGTGTAACTGCAGCGCAATCGATACAGTGCATACTACGAATGTCTATCCAATAAATTCAAGAAGTTAATTCTGGGATCAAACGTAAGGGCTCCCTCAAGATAGTACATCTCACTATCAAGAAAATGTTACAAAAATGGGGCAAGGCAACCAGGTTGTTTCGAGTACCTTTTTTTCCACCCCAATTATAATTCAGGAAGAAAGTTGACGAAATTGTGTGTGAATTATGTTAACCTCGGTGGCTGAGCTTTGTACGAATAAAGTAGATGAGTTTCCGAGAGCACCAAGAACACATTTTACCATTCATGGATATCGCATCTACCTCTGTGATCAAAGCTAGTATCAGTGTTGTTAGGCAAAACTCCCAGGAGGTCTGCGAATCACTGGGTTAGGGAGTAGTTTACTAGCTAGGTAAGAGCATGCGTTTGCACAAGCCACTTTTTCTAACCAGAAGAATAAGGCGCATGAATACGTTGTCAAATAAATGTAAAAAGGAATTTCCTTGTTAACTGCTTATTATCGATTATCTGGAATGTGAGATTTTTTTATTATAAGATAAAAACACAAAGTAGTGAAACAGTTTGTTGCAATCCGACGTTTCTCAAGAATTTCTACAGTCAGTTCTAGGGATCAGTTGTTGAAGTCCTTGAGAAAGCTTGTTCACCACAACTGAAGCATCGGATTGCATCAGATTATTCCACCAAGATATGCTTTGACTTTATAATAAAGAAATTCATATTATACACCACATGGCACTCAATCTTTTTAGCACTCTTTGAGCCGATTCCGGCCCAGAATTCATAATCGAAAAATGCTTTCTTCCTTGTTTAATACGTCCTTTTAAAAACAGTTCAAGAAAACTTATATGATTATCACGTTGCAATCCGTAGTTATTGGAAAAGCGTTTTTATCTACGGTCAGACCGAACTTATACCGAGTTTGAATAAAAAACGCAAAACAAACGGCATCTGGCAGCTTAATTTGGAGGTTTCAATCACAAAAAGTGAAGGAAACCGAAACATACCTGATTACTCAGGGGCGGTATAAACGATTATAATAGTGATTCATGTATAACCAGACTTTACCTCTCAGCAGTAGGTGTTCACTACAAATCGTATAGTCGTATAGTGACAGTCTGTATCTAAGCTCAATAAATTGCTCTTATTCGTTCCTTTATTTTTCTTACTCATTTTTTACCAATTACCTGTGGGACTACCGCATATCTTCTTGTTCACTTTTTCCGGTTGATATAAACTTTGCTTGCTCTTCCGCGCGTAAGAGAAACAAATAAGCGCAAATGGACAGACAAATCCTCCGAGGAATAGACAGCTGCTGAATATGATGCTGGAGCGATCGTTGGACAAATAGTCAAATGTGCATCCTGTGAGAAATCCTTCCATCACGTACCGTCCTTTGTGATAGAAGAGGAAAAGATTGCATGAAAGTTGCGAACGGTACCCTAGCAACATTGTTTAGGATGCGGTCTCTAATTACAACCAATTTCTATCTCATGAAAGCCTTAGCCTTACAATGATTATTTACACTAGTTACGCTAAACAATAGGCTAACCATGCTGACGTGGTTATTCACTGTTCAGTTTGAGGAATATCACACTGACCGGAGCCCTTGCAAATGAAAATTGTCTGCAAGATAATTTTTACCAGTCACATCTACCTGATTGTGAAGAAAAGTAGTCGGATTCTGTTTGGTAAAGTATTTTTCAATAACGCGCTGATAGTGAGTTCTCGTTGATGCAGCAAGTAAAGCCAGCTGATGTCAAGCAGTTTGAATGTTTCAATCAAGTATACCAGTAGTTTCAAAGCAACTTTGCACGTCGTATTCGTTGCACTGCAAAGCAAAAATCAGTTCCTACCATTTATTGCCCTGAGCAACATTTTCCGCAAACTGTAAATACTACGCATGAGTTACTGTTATTAGTGTACGCATTCTTCATGAATCTACAACAAAAACCAAGTCCCAATGAAGATTCGCGGTAGATTACACCTGACTTCACGAATACTGGATAACCATCCAAAGCGTAATTCTTTTCAGAACCTCCGCTTATCTTATATCTTGGATCAAATCTCTAGTCAATGAAAAAGCCGAAAGGAAGGCGGGCCATAAACGCTGACGACTGGCTAGATACTTATCGCAAAACAAAAACCGAAATTCCAGTTTTCTAATTAAAAGTCTTCTTTTGCAGAAAATCGGACGATTTGTGAGCAATGTCGGTATATATATATATATATATATATATATATGATATAAATAACCGATGCACAGCTGTTAGTGAGGATAATGACGCTAAAGCCAGTGTATTGTTTCCTAGGCTGCCGTTGTGTCAATGCTGGATGCTACATCACTGTGACATGAGCGAATCGAAGAAAAAGTTGAAAATTAGCGAAACATACTCATTTGAAAACTAATTTGTTTTTTCGAGAGACTTACTTGGAACCCAGCTGAATCTCTCCTTTGTAATGTTTCCAGGCGAACGAATGTGCTGCACCAGTCGAAATATTTAGTCACGTGACTCATCACTAGCTAACGGCAATTGTTCATTTCTGCCCTATATTCCGTGTGACGATATATCTCTAGCGGAAGGATATTTGTTGAACTATGTCTATTTCGTGTTTAAAACTGTATTCTGTAGACAGGCTGACAGTATCGCTTGGACTTCCATGATATCACCTCTAGTGACCGGTTATTTTCTCCCCATGCACCACGCTCTTTGTCGAGATACGCTGAGAAAAACTTTCGATCAAATCAACCACACAACGACAATCCTTCATAGACTAACTGAACGAATAATGCAGTAGTTGATTGACTATGGAAACTAAGAGCTATGGATTACGAGCTGTGGGTTACCTGTTAAACCTGCCCATGGATTCTCGGTGGAAATCCGCAGAAAACCCATACATTCAGACAGGTACCTGCATTACAATCGTCACATCCATACTACGTCAAACGGACCGTTGTTCACCACTTGGCGAATCATGTCAACAAGCTACCTTTGAAAAAGTCAATACGATCAGGTGAACTGAGTCAAACAACCAGGGTATCATGAGGTGATAAACGCTATTTAGCAGGATGATGGTGGCTCAGATAGCCTAGATGGTGAGTGGTTTGTTGGCTGAGGTAAGCTGAGCAATTTGATCGCAGACGTTTAACGACACCAGTCAAGGTAGCGTCATTTGCATTGGTAATTTTTTAGATATATTATTGTATAAAAAGCTAAGGGTAGGCCATGGTCTGATGAAACTTGCATATTAAGTCCAGATCTTCCAAAAGCTCTGCGACCTGAATGTACACGCATGGCAATCACATAAATTTTCAAGTAATGGACGATGGTGAACCAGCCGCCATTGGCAGAGGTATCATATATTGTTGTAATATCACGTCAGAGCTTATCCAAAAACAGTCCACTCTAATTGTGTATCAACTTCGGTAACTTAGGTTACTTTCCTCACTGAATTTATCAAGGCAAAATAAAGCTGACACACAGGATTTTTTCCGTTCATCACCAAAACGGATCTAACTGTTATTATTGCGCCTCAAACACGGGCTTCAAAAAGAAAATTGCTACTGTTTTCCCACCTTGCTTCAGGGTTCAGCTTGCTCTGAGGCAAGCAAAACTTCCCAATTATTAAGGGATTTTTTGAGCTGCGTGATGTTGCCTGGATGTTAACGTTGATGAAAGGGTTAGGATGATTCATGGGAGGTTTCGCCGTTATCCGAGCTTTTTGTTACGTACACCTAATGCTCAACTGTTTCCCAACCGTTGCGTGCAACTTTAAATTTTTAAGTTGTTTTCCAGCTAGATTATATTAATGAATTACATGCTACGCTAAAAGACCTCGAAAGACTCTGAAAGCATTATATACTCGTGCCAAGAGGGTCGGCGAATGGAGTTTTTGATTTTTTACAAGAAGCCTGCAAATGACGAGCGCAATATATTTTCTTACGATGCAGTTTGCTCTGTTAAATACCTAGACTACAATGCTTGACAAGTTAAATTAAAGACCGGATGGGAGAGGTCCTATGCCAGATTCGTTTGTGTAAGCTGTCTACACTTACAATAATAATTCCAATAATACAGCCGGATAATTCCACGATGCAGTACAAAAAGTCAAAAGCAAACCGTTCAGCATCGAATTCCCGGGATCAGCTAGAAGCACTATGTAAAGAAACGTTTGTTCTCCTCTTCCGTGTTGTTAAGACCTACCACCAACGATATACTCTTTTCTCTTTGATACACATGCGTTCTTTTGTTTTTCAGCTTTAAGTACACATTCGAATGCATGTTACATGCCTATTTTAGTTAGCCGGCGCGAAAAGTATCGTTTGTTTACGCACACACACATGTATGCAGTACTCACCTATACCGAAGAAAGGTAGAATGGTCCATAATGTAGACCACAGCCATATTAATAATAACGCATAGGTTGCATTTCGATTTGTCACCGCATAAGACCATGGCTGAGCGTGGGCGATTGTCCAGTAGCGCAAGTAGGCAATGGTTGCCAGAGTTGTTATGGATGTGAACCCGAAGAGTCCACCAGCAAACCCGTAAAAGTCACATCCTGAAAAGAAGGATAAATTGCTCCACAAAGTATCTTTCCGTGTTAAGATATCAAAGGAAGCTGAAAGTAATGATACCTAAAACAAAAATGACAAAAAACGAAGCACAGTTTGGCTGGGCAACTTTGCGATTCTGCTTTTTGAGGTGATATCAATGAAAACACCACTTTAGTATTCAATAGCTNGTGATATCAATGAAAACACCACTTTAGTAATCAACAGCTTGTCAGTACAGCCACTAACAGGATTTTAACTGCCTGTTAAAAAATTTGAGCCTATTATGGATTTAAGGACGTTGTACTCTGAGAGATTTGAAAGTCCAACTTAACTCGGTGCTTGAAATATGCGAATTAGTAGTCGTACTTAGCACACAGCCGGTGATCTACGGTGGATAAACATGCAACGCTTGCCTGTCTGTTAATTAGGTTATCTGTCTTAGATCTCCAACAGCACTTATGAAGGGCAGAGTTTACTGGTTTGTTCTCCCTAATGCTGACCACCTGGTTTAACTTTGAGCCATGTAAGTGAGGGAGATTTTCCAACTAAATCCAAACTTACAAATTAGAATCTGATCTCTTATATCTAGCCGCCCAACATATGATAGTAAAAAACCAATGCCCTCTACATATGACGTTCCTCCACATTTCTGTGTATTAGACGTGCCGAACAGGGAAACCGGATCGCTACGTATAAGGTTATTGCCAATTTGGATATAGCAATGTTAGCTGTAAATTATTTTTGTGAAATATTTATGCCACTTTCGAGCAGAGTACAATTAACGAGGGGGCAGATGACCTCACTAAACAGCTACTAGCTTTTTGAAATATTTAGATTCAACAGAAAGTATGTTGTGTATAATTTAAAGGAGGTATAGAATGGTACCTACAAACCTTCACCTCTCCATTCACTGATATCCTGTTCAGGAGGTAGTACTTCATAAACGCTATGTACAGATGCGGGCCCCATACAATCTGACATGTGCATACACAACCAATGTTTCACGCCTACCAGCCGTAAGATATCCCCGAGGTTTTGTTTACTTTTTTGGGAAAACCACAGTGAGTTAGCCATGAGCCACGATTTGGCATAATACCTTTTACGAGAGGCAATCCTCTTCAAAAATGAAAGTTTACTTGTCCGTGGTGTCCATCAGCAAAGAGTTGTCATTTGTCTTTTAGCCTGGATAAAAAGTGTAGAAAGTTGAAAACAAAATCCATTGTAGGATAAGCTAGCAAAAGGGGCTTTGGGTACATTTTNTGAAATAGGTGCTAGCAAAAGGGGCTTTGGGTACATTTTTGAAATGACTCTTTATAAAGCTGTTGACAAGAAAAACGTCTTCATAGACATGAGGTTTTATGGATTGTCGGAAAATATTAGGCTAGAATTTCTGCTCTTCAGCGGATCATTTCGAAAGAGGAACGGTTGAAGCTTGTACGACAGGCATTACCACGACGATACTGAGTCTCTGAGCTGCTAGCTAGGTAGCAATTATTCGAACGTAAATAATCTCAACTTAGAAATCGATGTCTCTTCTCTAGACCACATATGCGTCAGCTGCGTACCTTGCAATAGTACTATGGGGCCAAAGTAAAGAGCCGCTTAACAATAATTCACGCTTGTCATATCAATTACTCAGTTAGCCATAGGATTTATGAACATGAAGATGCCAACCGGATTCGCTTACCGACTTTTCCCCAGATCCATTTCCTCTGAAACATTGAAATGACCTTCATCGGGAAACAACAGCTTATTGTAAGGCCCAAATCTGCAACAGCCAGATTGATGGTAAACCAATGGCGTGTTTTGCGTGCAAATCCGTTTCTGTATACAAAGAGTGGAGAACTGATGAAATGTTCGGTGAAGAAAAAAAGGATGTTCTGGATACAGAGCTTTGGATTAACTTAGTAAGATGAAGACGCCCAGATCTCTCGTGCGACAGCATTTGGTGGTTTTCTGCATTCGAATGGGGAACGATTAGTGGGCATTAAATGAAGTATGGCTCACAAATAAGACATGGATAACGATATGATCCAGTTGGTGCTTGCATTTTAAACAGAAGCTCATATAAAGACTGCAGTAAAATGGATGCCGGATGGTTAGAAAAGTGAATATCCTTTTGATTTCCATCGGGGCAGGTGGACATCTTTGTAAACAATGAAAACCTAAAAAGCCCGAAAAACTGACTTAAAAGCAACGATTTATTCTGGGTAGCATTTACTCCTTATTACGATCAACTCCAGTGCGACTGCGTTTAGTCAGAGGATTTAAAACCATGGGGATGAAATACAATTATGCTTTTCCATTATCTGCATACATACGTGTAAAAATCTGTGAATAAAGACTACAGAAATGTAAACACTATCATGAAACAATATTAAGCAACGATACTATCAACATAATATTCGAAGGTCTCACAAGCTGAAAGCAAGTATGATGAAGGAATTCAGGGTAATGGAAGAAATACCGACGATTGATGCAAATACTCCAAAAAGGTAGAAATATCCGGGGCTTGGTGCAGCATGCATATACCAATGTGGCAAAACAATTTTCGCGAACGCTGGGTCATTGAAGTAAGCAGCAGCCACAGAGAGGTTACACACCGCACATTCAGAGTAATTCATGAATCTGTGGAAAATAAGATGTGAAAAAAGAAAATAATTTGCCAGATCTCCGGTGGTTATTGAATTCAGCCACACAGTGCTGGTGTGTGATTACAACGTAATAGACTCTTGTTCACAAAACCAGTGGTCAGTTTTTTTAATGTAAGCGGATCGAAGGGTCATCAGATCAGTGTAGTTTGAAAAGTCACGAGCACGCGGGTTTGGATTTCACGGAATCAAGCTAAGGCCTAGGAATGTGATCCAATAAGGTAGCAAAGACGTTCGGGCGGCGAATATCACAGCCATACGAGACCGTTCATCTTAACGAACTTATTTTTGCAGCTCGCAGCGATTTCACGCGTTGATATTTATGCGACATACTGTTCTTTTATTCAGCCAAAAGTTTCGAATTTCTGATTTTCCTCAAAATTATTTAGGTACTTTGTCCCCTATTTTTAAAGAACACAAAACAGCCTTGCATTAAGAGGAAACATCGATTCCACTAATGGGGTCAATTTCCTTATTTTTAAAGGTACTCAAAATACTGATAATGTGAACAGACGGTTGTGGAAGTAATCACACTTTCAAAAATAACCTGGCACTAACAATTCTTTCATAACTAAAACCGACCCATGTTCAATAAACATTTACCAGATATATGCATTTTTTACTACCTAAGTAAATTTTATGGAGTCTTGAATCTTCTTTTTACAAGAACTAATGTGTCCTTCATCAAATAATATGACCGGCAATATTGTACCTTTCTGAACTTTTCACCGCGTGTAGTTTGATACTGCGTATCTGTCAAGAACCATTAAAATGTAAACAGCAACGCATGGAAGAAATCAAAAAACATAAGCGTAAGGTTCTAACATTAACAATTCATTTTCAACATAGCGCTTCCAAACGAAAGTGGTCTGTCACTAGGACGTCAGCCTATATTTGAGAAACCTTGTGCCGATTTTATGTATATAAAATTATTTTGTTAGACTGTCTAGAAGTAAGTTTAGTAAACTGTACAATGTGAGATGCAATGCAGTTGAATAGTCTGCTCGTAAAATCTCCCGGATATAACGATGAAACAAAATGTTTTGCCTAAGTCACCAGTAGGTTGACTCGTCGTTCCATTTGATTTTTAACAAATTTGAAACGTGTGATTCTTCTCTTCGTTGCTTTTGAGGTTTACTACTAATCGTATTGCTGAACGTGTTCATAAGATAAATAACAATCTGGTGAATCTGTCATGAAACCTGCATTCAAAGATTTTTTATTTGCCTGGAGGTAAAGAATAGTTTTCTCTTTCATCCACATCAAGTCATTTGCATTCAGCGGTTTAGCACGAATAGTCGCAGCACACTGCAAAGATTTTCCAAATGGGCTTGCCCCATTTATTAGGGCCACATATAATTCAATATCTCTGGATAAAGTATTTAAGATAAATGATCCATGTTTGCTCTTCATTGCATCGTAGCACTGTCCATTTCAAGTGCATTCAGTCCTAAGTAAACCGGATGGATCTTCCCAGTGAAGTAAGCTGTAATGGTGCAGAGAAAATGTGTGATAATGAATACAGTCATACAGTTTATCTGTTCAACTTCTCTCAAAGCAGTGCTTCTGAAACAAATAAATTTGGGGGAGGAGATTAGAACAAGACCTATCAGCAACTGATCATATGTCTTGGGAAATTAGGTACCTTTGTTTGAATGGCTTATTCAGTGCAGGAAGGATTAGTAAAAAATAAATCTCTCATATTTGTAAAAAAAATGCTTGTATCTGTTATTTGGGCCCATATGACTTTGATTAGGAACAAATAGTAAAAACCTTCGGTTACAATTTATACATTTTTGCACATCCTACATTCCCCAGTAATCACTTAGCGGATAGCACATGGCGAACTTACGAATGCACTTTTCGCTATCAAATTTTCATAAAATTAATTAAAAGACGGTATCAAACGAATAAATCTGGTCGTATATGGACAATTTCTTTGTCCTTTTCCCACCAGTCAAACCACACATGTTTCACTATAAACAGCATTTCAAGCACCAGCCTCTCTTCCCATGGCAATATTTCAGTGTGTTAACAGTAATTATTGTGGTTAAAATGAGTCAAGCAAGTTTGAAATCACTGTAAGTAGTGGTCATCCAACCATAACTGTATTGTATTCAATTACTTGACTTTCAGTTACGAAGATGGCTGTCTGTGGTGTTCTGTGAACGTTCTCTTCTAAGCTTCGAAGGAGGTTAGCTCAAGAAAACAACTTACAAAATATTCGGCAAGTAGTGTTTTAAAAGACAAAGGGGGCAGTTTGTAGATCGAACTGCGCCTAAAATAATGGCAATTCAACTTTCCAATAAAAGGGGCAGCTGTGGCGAAGTTGCAGGCAGCGGTTTGTACACCCTTTCTCCACAAAAATCCCGGCTACTATAAGTTTTCTGAGCAATCGTGACATTTGCGTAAGTTAGTCTACTAGACTGGTCTTAATTCGAAACAGAAATTGTGATTTAGTTGACAGTAACTCTGCACCTGTTACGAATTATCACAAATTTATGTTGGAGGGCCTCGCAGAGATTTCTTACAGTTACGGATACGGCAAAAATGTGAATAAGTTTGATTAGGTCTTAATTTGAATGAATTTGAATAAATCTGAAGCGACGTCAGTTTTGTTATCCGCCGCAATCGAAAGAAAAATGGGACTCTTGTATGGGTAATGGATAGGAAGAAGCTCATGACTAAGGTACCCCAACAAGTACGAAAACTATACCAGTCACAATGAAGGTTCTCATCATTGTGTTAGCTACATTTGGACTTCCCTTTAGCATGGATTACGTACGCAGTACTATTCATATTTACAGCATGTTTGTAGAGCAGAATGACTAATAGCTAAGTAAAGACCTTGTGATCTCCGTTAAGAATGCGCCACAGGGGGAACAGTCCATTCAGTATCCAAATGCTTATTCATATCGTGCTCCAAGCATAAATGCTGTCCACGCAATAGAGTAAAGCATATTATCTTAGATCACCAGCGTTCATTTTTAAGCTGGTTCACCCACGTACAACCATTGTTGTCCAATAGACACAACGCATACAAATAAATGTCCTGCATAGGCAGATTCGAATATGATGCCCTTTCTAATTACACGTTCTGCAAGATGTCATGTTTGTCAGTATGTTCTGCTTTATTTCCCACCGTATACTCAACGCCCTTTTCTCCCATCCTGTTGCCAGTTCGGAAGAAGTACGCGATCTATTGGACGTGTGTTCTTGTGTGAATGGGGTCTCAAGGGGATAATTTTGATATTTTAACTAGGCCTATCATGACAAAGAAACTATACATAAAGAGTCATATTGAAAAACAACGTTCTGCAAGTTTAGGTGATAGCGGTAGAAACTATTAGCTGTGTAATGGGTCACTGCATTCCTCATCATTTCCTTCAGTCTATACGTGCTATTTCGGAAGGGGAGTAACGCATGTCGACCAAGCAGCACACGTAAATCAGTGACATTAGTTTAGGGGATGAGTTTGCCAAGATGATCGCAGAAAATGGGGAAAATTCAAAATGAATGAGGACTTTCAGCCGTAAGACAGAGCAACTCTTGTCCAATGCTGTTTGCACCCGTGTATGAGAATTTTCGTTTTCTGCATCCAGTGTACCGCAAAGGTTGCAAAAACTATTTCACATCAGGCTAAGGATGATCAGCTTTTGCTTGAATTCTTTTTCATCAGTAACTAATCGCCATTTATCTGGAAATTTCCTCCTGTGAACCACGATGTTCTGAGTGGCCTATCGCATTACCCGTTTCAACCCAGGAAAGGGGTCCTTCTGTTCATGTTTGTAGCTTGTATAAAGTAAGTTACAGTTGGCTTGTTGTTTCATATGGACCTCCGGTCAACACAATAAACTAGGCACTGATTTTGTTTCTCAACTAAGTTTACGGGCTTTAGGTGCTCTAATGATGTACTTGTGGTTTCGAAATTCACCCACCTATACCATAACTACTGATAGCTCATTTACTCCTAACATCAACCTTCATGGGGGCCTGTTCTCTATATTTACCAAGGCGCATGTGGACAAGCTCCCTAAAATGTTGGGGAGTCTGCAGTTGTTGGGGCAAGTGGCATTGACTGTCTTTAATCATATCCCTAATAAAGTCGGAAATACTCTGTCTCACTATGATTAGATTACACAGATTACACAGTACTTCGTCAGTCGTAACACTGTGAGGTAGAAAATAACATACTACAAAAGTGACAGAATAAATCAGTCAATACGCGTCAAACTTACAATATTTCCTAGTTGGGTTAAATATTTATGTAGTCGTATGTGAATTGCTGATGCCGCTATCGTAATTTGAGTTCAATAAATATCCTTATAGCTCCTTGGGCATCCAATGACCACTCACTTCATTCATTGGTCAGCCAAACTGCTCGCTAAAGTATATGCTGACAGGTTTTGGATGCTTACTATCCGGTGAATCGAAAGGACCTTGCAAAATATAAATCCTTCTGGTTTACATTAACTGGCGGTGAGGCAGCTAGCAGAGTGACGGATTTTGGATAACGGATATGTGCTTAACAAAATCGTTCATTTTTTAAAGATGTTGAGAACACTGAGAAAAGAAAGTCACTGACTTTCTTGACTTCAATAAATTTGATGAAATCAGTCTGTTTACGTCTGTCTTCCGAACTCAGGAAAAAACATCTTCCAGAAACAAAAACATTTGTCAAAATAGCTTGGTCCCCTGTTTTCAAGGAATAAGGAAGATTTATTTTTTCTAATTACTGTGCATAATACAAATCTTCGAACTGGTATCAAGCGTGTACTACGCACCACGACGCTCACAAAAATGCACCTCGATTGGTAATGAAACGTTTTCAATCAAATTGCTTAACTCGGTTAACAAGCCAACAGCCAAAATCACCATACGTTTGGCTGAAAATTGTACATAGGCTGGTAGACTGAGAGAATATTTGCGAGTTTGCGAGATCTCTGAAACAATATCTGGAGTGGTGCCTTACT